GAAATATTGGAGCATTAACATTTGCAAAAAGTACCTTTTTAATTGATAAAGTTCTAAATTTTAAAAATACATTTGAGTATAATTAGTTGGTAAATACCCTTAAAAATAATGTCGAGATCAAACATAGATAATTAAACTAAAACCTAATGGTATATTTAATATGTATGTAGTTGTGTTAGTGTTATCGGATATTGTGGACTAAAATTAGAAGTGAGTATATAACTAGAGTAAATAATGTGACCAGATGAAACATAAAATTAATACATATAAAAATCTAATAACACCCATTATTCAACATCCAATTTTTTATCAAAACGATATACTCATTGACAGTTTTCATAATAAATTATTTTAATCGGCTGAATATTTACCGGTTAAACAATAACCAAAGGTTAGATTGTATTGCGTTTTAAATACTACAGAATCTTCATCGCACCTCTTTACCCACCCACCATTTTTTAACAAATTAAAAAAAAAACATTATTCCAAACTAGTATGTCCTTTTTGAATCTGCTTCGAAATGTGGGACAATGCCCCTGAATGTGTGTATAGGGTATATAATTAGGGAATTTACGGTGATTAATATCGGTGTTAAAAATTGCATTTCTTTGGCATTGACCGTGGTAAATCCCATTTTAGCAGCACTAGCATTTAAATCATAAATATAAAGCGATAAAATAATTTACTTAAAAATATATTAATAAATACTAGAAAAAAAAACATACACGTATAATACCGTAAAAACCCTAGAGGCAATGGGAGTTACAGAAGTCACGTGACTGGCAATTTCAAGTCAAGTAACCCAACTTAAAAAATTGATTTTGATAAAATTTAGACCTAGGTTAGTACTATTGGATAGTATGCCAGACACTTCAGCTCTATCGGCCATGATCTGCCGGAATTAGAGGGGGTTAAAGTCAGACATTGTGGTCATACAGTGTTTTTTTTTCAAATGAGTGTAACTTTTCACCTATAAGTCCTAGCAAAACGATCTTGATTGGATATCCTTATCCGCGGGATTTCTCCCGGGTGTTATTGCAATAAACTATAAACTCGGTCTTTCCTTGTAATGATTTGACGTAGAAAAGCACATATTCTGGGTACCACGGGGACCGGTAGCCCACAGGGCAGAGTTTTCCGACTTTGTCCCGATTATTGGAGAAGTCCCTTCGTGGAGCACATGATGGCTGGGGTTTAAGAGAATATTGGTTAAAAGACTGATACACGGTAAAGTCTATAATTCGGGATAAGTTCGGTGCTGTTGCCGAGACAATAGATACCCCACAGAGGAGTGACTGCGGGACTAAGCGTTGGAAATGAAATGGTGTCAAATATATATAATACGGGTTGGGGGTAATGATGATTGCGACTCTTACCCATCCGTATACCTAGAGTGTGTGTGTCGGATGTTTTTCTTAATGAGTGTGTCGGATGAATGAGAAGTTTGCTGGGTTGAATGGTGATGTATGTAAGGTATCTTATACAAGTGATACCATTGAATTTTTGTTCCTTGCCCGAGTATTTTAAGTCTTTACTCTGTAAGTGGAAACAAGTCCTCGGTTTATTTGATGTTTCGGTCTACCGATTACGTCTCTAAGTGCTGTTGTCGACTCCACAGAGGTTGTAAACGGAATTGATGATTTTGCATCTCGGAAATTAAGCAATGATCAGAGATTAGATAGCATGAGTAGGATTCCGATTTGATATTATTTTGAGTGAGGTATCGCTTGGCTTCGACTGAGCTGTTGTTAGTCTTCAGATCATTGGGATATCTAACCCTTTTTGCTTCAGATGTTTAGAGAGAATCCGATATTCGGAGTTTCCTGGGATTAATTTGAAAAGTTGGGAGATTTTAATACACAAACCAAACTCTATATAAATATTTAACAAAATTTAATTTATTAAAAATTGGTTGTAAACATGTTATATACATATGTATGTAGTAAACATAAACTATTCAGAGTTCACAAAACTTCAGAATTTATACGCTTAAGGCATGCTGCCTTTAGGCAATCAATTATAGTATAATCTATTTTTAGCCACCAATAAGTCATGTCATACATATATTTAAACCCTTGAGAAATACAAGATAAATCAACATATATTTTTAACAAAAAACTATCGGTAAAGTTCAAAAGTTTTAATAAATGTGAAGAGAAGTTGAAATATGTATATAATTTTTACTAATATGCTAAATTTTATGTCATTGACAAAAAAACTAAAATAAATTTAAAGAGAGTAACATCAACATGCTCACAACTGATCAAAAAAACCTGTTATAACTTTTATGATATTATTAGCAAATTGTTTTCTTCTATGTACATATCTATTCCAAATTAAAGTTGCTTGCGTAGTTTGAGAGAATAAACTTATCTAACGATCAGGTTTAATTATGCTAAATAAAAAATTGTGTAAAAAAGCTTAATATAATTTTCTAGTTAGGTACATATGTACCTTTATTAGAGGAAATTTAAAGGCATCAGACCTGAGTATGAAATATAAAGCTTTTAAAACATCGTGCGACTTGCATTAATACATGTTTATTTATGAAACGATTTAATTATATTATTCTTAATAAATCTGCTTTATTTTACTTATAATAGAAATATAAAATTAAACAAAACAGGCGATTTGTTGCATTGGTTATTCGCTGAATTCGATAGATTTGATTTAAATATACATGTAATTTATAGGAAATCGAAAGTTTAATTACCAGTCATTTATTTCAGTATTTAATGCTATATATAAGTAGGTATCAGTAGATTACTTTGGTAAATATATCGTGGTACTAGTTTGTAACCAATTTTGACAAAAACTGATTAATACCAAATCAATATTAAACATTTATGTTAAATTTCATCTTAATGATTTATTGACAATAATAAATCGTTAAGCTGTGTATATTCGGAACGGTTTAATCTACGCATGCTGGTAGGCACACTTCTATTACGACCTAGTTGTGGCAGAAATATATATCTGTACCACGGTTGTCCGACACGTTTGAAGCTATTAAGTTTGCAGTCGAGCCATTCCCAATAGCTCCTCAGTTAGACAGCTTAAATTTCGTAGAATGCAGCTGTGAACAATATGTTTCAGAACTCCTAACTGTTTGATCAGCAGAGATGCAGATACGGAACCCCAGGGGTAGTTCCGGTCACACTTTGGAAAAACCTAGATCAAAACCATAAATTTGCAGCATAATCAGTAGATTTAGTAAACATTTTAAATGAATTTACGATATTCAAAAGAAAGACGAAAATGCCTTCCTATACTGAACCCCGATTCTTGTTCTGGACGATTTTAGTGACCGACTGGCTTAAATAGCTATGCATAATTCTTGATCGTAAACTATAATGGAAATATCACATAGAGAACCAACAAATTATATCGATGTTGGGTGCTATGTAGATGAAACATAGACTCGAAATGGGGTCTTGGTCTAACTATGATACATTGGCTTAATAAAAGCGTAAATTGATCTGTTTCACATTAAAGAAATAGAAATTGTCGGGAACCATGATACATTGGTCACACATAGGAGATCGCGGTCAAGTGGAACGTTAGTGCAAAACCCTTACGAGAATCTGTAGCTACACGGATGAGAGCCTAAATGGGTCGGATTCTTTGAAACATTGGTCCCAGATAGAATACTATAGAATAAATATGGGGCCAACGGAGGTTATTATCAGCTCATAAGGTTAAATCTAATAACGCATTGGACTGTAAGAGAGCCATAACCGAATACTATTCCAAAAGTAAGTTCTGTATTCATTCTGGGTACTAGGCCGCAAGCAAGTATGAGGAAGTTAATCTGACCCCAACAAGGCAGGACGTGAAGCCTCTTCAGAATGAACAAGTCAGATCTTAGTATGATGCTACGCATTCTTAGTGGACACACAGGTTTACGAGCACAACTATACAAAAATTAGTCAAAGTCATTCAGCTGAATGTAGAGCATGTGAAGAATGTTTTCAGTGTTCCAACGTTTCGTTGAAATTGGATCAAAATATCTTGAGAGCGATGTTATTCCAGATGTTATATCTCTAATTGAAATGTTATAAGCAAGTATCACCTAGAAACTGAGTTTTTGAACATTGGACGTTAATTTCTTTCATATAGGTTTTCTCCATGAAAAAGAACGAATTTTAGACTCGAAATTGTTAAGGAACTATAACCATCAAAATGATGTTCTGAACATTGGACGTTAATTCCTTTCATATATATCTTTGTATTAGGATTTTCTATAAAAACGAGCTTACAACAAGTCCGTTAGCGGCCTAGGTGTGTTTTTCAAATCTGATGTAATGTCTACATCCTTCATTCAACCTAAACTTCGGATCTCATATAATATACATCCTACTTTCAATATAACCTAATCTAACCTACGATATTAGGTTAAAACATAAATCAATTTCAATGGGCTTTTCATTAACATCATGACTTGAATGATTGCTTTCAAAGATTAGGATTTGGACCCCATACTTAACCAGAATATTTGTCTGACGATCATGAACTTAGCATGTTATTGTGAGTCGATTGGCACTCTCTAAATTGTAGCACCAAAGTTATATAAAACAGTAGAAAAAGCAGAAGTGACCCCTGACCTTTCAACTGCTGGTGTGTAAGTAAGACTCAACATAGCCCTATACATGATTATTCCAGTTTTCTTTATATACCCACTCAAAATTAAATATCAATTCTCCGATGTTACACTTCTCTAACATATACAGACGTACTACTTCAAACATAACATCTCATTGAGTATTAGAAATTATGGCACTGATTACAAAACAAACAAATAAAAAAGTACCCCAAACGAAAAGCTCATGCTTTCGAGCATTATTTAGAAATCGCTGAACTGTTGGTCGGCAATAACAACAACAACAGTACAAGAAATAAAGAACGACAAAAAAACTACCGCAAAATACACTCAAACCAATTCGGGAGGGCAATCTGTGTATAAAACGAATATAACGAATGAGGAAATGGCTCAGTGCTAAATTAACAAATGCTAGAATAACAACGGAGAGATATTTATAAAAAATAAATTAATTAAAAAATATAAACATTTAAAAACAGAAACACGAACATTAGCGAAAAGTTGAAATAAATTAAATCGTGCAGCTGAGAGTAAAAGATCGTGTAAACTGACAAGAGGTGATTCCCCAATTCAAACATTAATAAAAAATGTGTGTAAATTATTAAAACACATAAAAAACAATAACAAAAATAACGGTTTTAAAGAAGTATTAGTGCTGAAAATGAAAACAAATACGTCATTTTAATATTTAACAAATGTCATGATAATAACATAAGAATGAAATTATAAAAAAACAACAACAACAAAGTGTTATATAGAATATAAAAAAGAGAACAATTACAATTTGTTATTGTAAACAACAACAACAAAATAAACAAACTAAAGAATAAAACCGTTATAACATAACTCAGAATGGGTGTAAGATTTTTTGACAAGGAAAATATGTCAAACGGAGATGATTACAACAGTAGCGTCAATACTACCAGCAGCAATACCACTACTACACGTTCAGCATCATGCAACTGTAATGTCTGCAGTCAAACAAGAACAGCAGCGGCAGCTACAACCACAGCCTCTACACAAACCTGCGGTACCTCATCCTCCTCTTCTCCCACGGATAATGCTAGTAATTTGAATTTTCAAAAGTCGGGCATTTTACGAGAAATCATAGGAAATTGCAAGGAAGTAAGAATTGAAGAGAACGCCCATAATTTACGCATAGTGGGTAACAACAATCGCATACGCATTTCCTACAATGTGGGCGACATAACTGTCATTGGCAATAATACAAGACTGAAAATTAAAATCAATCATGGCCTCATCAAATACACCGGAAATGATGGCCGCATATGTTTGGGAAAAGATTCAACGGAACAGCTAGTTGACTACAGTGGTTGTAATGGTGTTTTGAAAGTACAAAATTCTAAGAAAAATGCTGCTGCCAGTCAAGTGAATGTTGACGACAATAACGATGATGAAGAAACTAAAAATAATACTACATCTACGGGAACTACATTTATAAATGGGAATTTTAATAAAAATAGCAAAAACCCTAAACAAAAATATGCATTTTCCGATAGTGAAGTCTTTAAGTGTAAAACCGATTACCACAATATGTTCGGTCGTAAGAAATCATTGCCCAATATGTCGCATCCAAAATCCATTTTTAGTGAAAATCAAACTGCCAATCGTGGCCCACAAATGCCAAAAAGTATTATACACAATTTTGGTAATATAGTTATAGCAAATTCTTCAAATATCTGCATAACACCCCAAACTTATACCTACTAATAATGGACGCTAAACTTAAAATGTGGCAACCAATCTAACTAATAACTACAATGTAGTTCAATGCTACTTTTAATATAATATAGTTTTATAACAAAAAATATATAATTTAGCTATTTCTTGCCTCATTTCTTTTGCAAAAGAAATTTCCTTCTTAAAATGTTCCTAATTTCTAATTAAAATGTTCAACTTAGAAATCTGCTTAAAACAAAAGTATTAAATATTATAATTAATATTTGTTAATTAGTACAATTATTTATCTTAATATTATTTTTAGTTTATTATTAAATTATTTATTATTATTAATATGTATGACTGACTGAATGTTGAGTACTTTAATAAAAAACAAATTTTTATTGATTTATAAAATTATAAACTCAAATGTCTTATCTTGCACTTTTTTATTTAAAAACAAAATACATACATACGTCTAAAATAATAGCGCCATTTGAAAAGCAGGTGACCTTCTTTAAGAAGAAAATATTGGTGGGAAAGACCTTATACATATAGTGCTCTATAATATCCGATGTTCAGAAGCTCAGTTTCCTGGACGTAGTTCCATAGAATTTTTCAAATAGTGTTTTAGAAGGAAGTAATATCTGGTATAACATTATTCCAATCGAGTTTACACATTCCATTATTGTACGAAATTCTAAGTGAAAGTTAATGTTGCCATTACATTTTTTTTATATTCTGGTATTTCAATGTAGATGCCATGGTCTACCTTGACTATATACTATAGACCGGAATATAGTGTATATATTTTAGTCTGTACTCAAGTCCAGTCTATGGTCTTGCCTATAGTCTAGTCTATAGTCTAGTCTATATTCTAGTCTATAGTCTAGTCTATAGTCTAGTCTATATTCTAGTCTATAGTCTAGTCTATATTCTAGTCTATAGTCTAGTCTATAGTCTGGTCTATAGTCTAGTCTATAGTCTAGTCTATAGTCTGGTCTATAGTCTAGTCTATAGTCTAGTCTATAGTCTGGTCTATAGTCTAGTCTATAGTCTAGTCTATAGTCTGGTCTATAGTCTAGTCTATAGTCTAGTCTATAGTCTGGTCTATAGTCTAGTCTATAGTCTAGTCTATAGTCTGGTCTATAGTCTAGTCTATAGTCTAGTCTATAGTCTGGTCTATAATCTAGTCTATAGTCTAGTCTATAGTCTGGTCTATAGTCTAGTCTATAGTCTAGTCTATAGTCTAGTATAGTCTAGTCTATAGTCTAGTCTATAGTCTAGTCTATAGTCTAGTCTATAGTCTCTCTAGTCTATAGTCTAGTCTAGTCTAGTCTATAGTCTAGTCTATTCTAGTCTATATCTCTATAGTCTAGTCTATACTAGTCTATAGTCTAGTCTAGTCTATAGTCTAGTCTATAGTCTAGTCAGTCTATAGTCTAGTCTCTAGTCTAGTCTAGTCTATAGTCTAGTCTATAGTCTAGTCTAGTCTAGTCTATAGTCTAGTCTATAGTCTAGTCTATCTAGTCTAGTCTAGTCTATAGTCTAGTCTATAGTCTAGTCTATAGTCTAGTCTATAGTCTAGTCTATAGTCTCTAGTCTAGTCTATAGTCTAGTCTATAGTCTAGTCTTAGTCTAGTCTAGTCTAGTCTAGTCTATAGTCTAGTCTAGTCTATAGTCTAGTCTAGTCTATAGTCTAGTCTAGTCTATAGTCTAGTCTATTCTAGTCTAGTCTATAGTCTAGTCTATAGTCTAGTCTATAGTCTAGTCTATAGTCTAGTCTATAGTCTAGTCTATAGTCTAGTCTATAGTCTAGTCTATAGTCTAGTCTATAGTCTAGTCTATAGTCTAGTCTATAGTCTAGTCTATAGTCTAGTCTATAGTCTAGTCTATAGTCTAGTCTATAGTCTAGCTATAGTCTAGTCTATAGTCTAGTCTATAGTCTAGTCTATAGTCTAGTCTATAGTCTAGTATAGTCTAGTCTATAGTCTAGTCTATAGTCTAGTCTATAGTCTAGTCTATAGTCTAGTCTATAGTCTAGTCTATAGTCTAGTCTATAGTCTAGTCTATAGTCTAGTCTATAGTCTAGTCTATAGTCTAGTCTATAGTCTAGTCTATAGTCTAGTCTATAGTCTAGTCTATAATCTAGTCTATAGTAGTCTATAGTCTAGTCTATAGTCTAGTCTATAGTCTAGTCTATAGTCTAGTCTATAGTCTAGTCTATAGTCTAGTCTATAGTCTAGTCTATAGTCTAGTCTATAGTCTAGTCTATAGTCTAGTCTATAGTCTAGTCTATAGTCTAGTCTATAGTCTAGTCTATAGTCTAGTCTATAGTCTAGTCTATAGTCTAGTCTATAGTCTAGTCTATAGTCTAGTCTATAGTCTAGTCTATAGTCTAGTCTATAGTCTAGTCTATAGTCTAGTCTATAGTCTAGTCTATAGTCTAGTCTATAGTCTAGTCTATAGTCTAGTCTATAGTCTAGTCTATAGTCTAGTCTATAGTCTAGTCTAGTCTATAGTCTAGTCTATAGTCTAGTCTATAGTCTAGTCTATAGTCTAGTCTATAGTCTAGTCTATAGTCTAGTCTATAGTCTAGTCTATAGTCTAGTCTATAGTCTAGTCTATAGTCTAGTCTATAGTCTAGTCTATAGTCTAGTCTATAGTCTAGTCTATAGTCTATAGTCTAGTCATAGTCTAGTCTATAGTCTAGTCTATAGTCTAGTCTATAGTCTAGTCTATAGTCTAGTCTATAGTCTAGTCTATAGTCTAGTCTATAGTCTAGTCTATAGTCTAGTCTATAGTCTAGTCTATAGTCTAGTCTATAGTCTAGTCTATAGTCTAGTCTATAGTCTAGTCTATAGTCTAGTCTATAGTCTAGTCTATAGTCTAGTCTATAGTCTAGTCTATAGTCTAGTCTATAGTCTAGTCTATAGTCTAGTCTATAGTCTAGTCTATAGTCTAGTCTATAGTCTAGTCTATAGTCTAGTCTATAGTCTAGTCTATAGTCTAGTCTATAGTCTAGTCTATAGTCTAGTCTATAGTCTAGTCTATAGTCTAGTCTATAGTCTAGTCTATAGTCTAGTCTATAGTCTAGTCTATAGTCTAGTCTAGTCTATAGTCTAGTCTATAGTCTAGTCTATAGTCTAGTCTATAGTCTAGTCTATAGTCTAGTCTATAGTCGTCTATAGTCTAGTCTATAGTCTAGTCTATAGTCTAGTCTATAGTCTAGTCTATAGTCTAGTCTATAGTCTAGTCTATAGTCTAGTCTATAGTCTAGTCTATAGTCTAGTCTATAGTCTAGTCTATAGTCTAGTCTATAGTCTAGTCTATAGTCTAGTCTATAGTCTAGTCTATAGTCTAGTCTATAGTCTAGTCTATAGTCTAGTCTATAGTCTAGTCTATAGTCTAGTCTATAGTCTAGTCTATAGTCTAGTCTATAGTCTAGTCTATAGTCTAGTCTATAGTCTAGTCTATAGTCTAGTCTATAGTCTAGTCTATAGTCTAGTCTATAGTCTAGTCTATAGTATCTATAGACTATACTATAGACTAGACTATAGACTAGTCTAATCTATAGACTAGTCTATAGTCTAGTCTATAGTCTAGTCTATAGTCTAGTCTATAGTCTAGTCTATAGTCTAGTCTATAGTCTAGTCTATAGTCTAGTCTATAGTCTAGTCTATAGTCTAGTCTATAGTCTAGTCTATAGTCTAGTCTATAGTCTAGTCTATAGTCTAGTCTATAGTCTAGTCTATAGTCTAGTCTATAGTCTAGTCTATAGTCTAGTCTATAGTCTAGTCTATAGTCTAGTCTATAGTCTAGTCTATAGTCTAGTCTATAGTCTAGTCTATAGTCTAGTCTATAGTTCTAGTCTATAGTCTAGTCTATAGTCTAGTCTATAGTCTAGTCTATAGTCTAGTCTATAGTCTAGTCTATAGTCTAGTCTATAGTCTAGTCTATAGTCTAGTCTATAGTCTAGTCTATAGTCTAGTCTATAGTCTAGTCTATAGTCTAGTCTATAGTCTAGTCTATAGTCTAGTCTATAGTCTAGTCTATAGTCTAGTCTATAGTCTAGTCTATAGTCTAGTCTATAGTCTAGTCTATAGTCTAGTCTATAGTCTAGTCTATAGTCTAGTCTATAGTCTAGTTCTATAGTCTAGTCTATAGTCTAGTCTATAGTCTAGTCTATAGTCTAGTCTATAGTCTAGTCTATAGTCTAGTCTATAGTCTAGTCTATAGTCTAGTCTATAGTCTAGTCTATAGTCTAGTCTATACTAGTCTAGTCTATAGTCTAGTCTATAGTCTAGTCTATAGTCTAGTCTATAGTCTAGTCTATAGTCTAGTCTATAGTCTAGTCTATAGTCTAGTCTATAGTCTAGTCTATAGTCTAGTCTATAGTCTAGTCTATAGTCTAGTCTATAGTCTATCTATAGTTAGTCTATAGTCTAGTCTATAGTCTAGTCTTAGTCTAGTCTCTAGTCTAGTCTATAGTCTAGTCTATAGTCTAGTCTATAGTCTAGTCTATAGTCTAGTCTATAGTCTAGTTATAGTCTAGTCTATAGTCTAGTCTATAGTCTAGTCTATAGTCTAGTCTATAGTCTAGTCTATAGTCTAGTCTATAGTCTAGTCTATAGTCTAGTCTATAGTCTAGTCTATAGTCTAGTCTCTAGTCTAGTCTATAGTCTAGTCTATAGCTTAGTCTATAGTTAGTCTATTACAGTCTAGTCTATAGTCTAGTCTATAGTCTAGTCTATAGTTCTAGTCTATAGTCTAGTCTATAGTCTAGTCTATAGTCTAGTCTATAGTCTAGTCTATAGTCTAGTCTATAGTCTAGTCTATAGTCTAGTCTATAGTCTAGTCTATAGTCTAGTCTATAGTCTAGTCTATAGTCTAGTCTATAGTATAGTCTATAGTCTAGTTATAGTCTAGTCTATAGTCTAGTCTATAGTCTAGTCTATAGTAGTCTATAGTCTAGTATATAGTCTAGTCTATAGTCTAGTCTATAGTCTAGTCTATAGTCTAGTCTATAGTCTAGTCTATAGTCTAGTCTATAGTCTAGTCTATAGTCTAGTCTATAGTCTAGTCTATAGTCTAGTCTATAGTATAGTCTATAGTCTAGTCTATAGTCTAGTCTATAGTCTAGTCTATAGTATCTATAGACTATACTATAGACTAGACTATAGACTAGTCTAATCTATAGACTAGTCTATAGTCTAGTCTATAGTCTAGTCTATAGTCTAGGGTATAGTCTAGTCTATAGTCTAGTCTATAGTCTAGTCTATAGTCTAGTCTATAGTCTAGTCTATAGTCTAGTCTATAGTCTAGTCTATAGTCTAGTCTATAGTCTAGTCTATAGTCTAGTCTATAGTCTAGTCTATAGTCTAGTCTATAGTCTAGTCTATAGTCTAGTCTATAGTCTAGTCTATAGTC